GAACGCACGACAATCAGCATCCCTGATTAAAATCGGAAACCGCAGTTTTGGCTTCTTGTCATCAAATAATCCATCAACATCTTGGTTTTTACACAATGATCTTACCCAAAATCACATTTTATATTTACGTCGACGACGATTACGTTCCCTCGTCGTTGCTTATAACCAAAATAATTAAATTGTTGCTATCCATCTCTTTTTGTCGCCCAAATAATCCCTTATAAACCTTTTAAATATTGCTTGTTTTAAATATTGTATTGTCTAGTGTAGTGCGAACTTACCATAAGTAGTTGAAATTGTTTTCTGCTTCGTAAAAGACCTTTTTTTCCTCTTTTCGTTCGCGTAAAAAAAAAACACTTTTTAAAGAAATTTGTACTTCGTTAACTTGCACTACACGATTCCCGCTTTTGTAAACAAACAGTAATTATGTGATTTTCCTTTAGCAACACTGATTTTGCGTGAAGTATAACGCATCTGAGAATACAACTAATCTAGTAATAATAACTTCGAACACCAATATTAACCAACCATATATGTATGCTCATTTTGACCAAGTACATACTTCCATTGTCTGTTAAGGATTATATTACCCATACACATTTTTCAATTCCAATAAGATATTATAAGCACATTTATAAAAATTACAACCCCTTACAAAGCAGTTAAAAACAGTTACATAAATATTTACTGGAAACGAACATATAGAACTGTTTAATTATAAACATAGTTTTGAATTTAAAAGTTTTTAGATTTAGTTGAAATTGTGTGTTTTTGTACTTTTGAAAACTTCTACTCTAAGACGAATTTAACAAACCCATAATCTTGCATAAAATGCTCTTTGTAGGTTTTGTGTAAAAAAATCAACAACTATATTCCCACTGCTGCAATAGGTTAATTGGATTTCATCTCGTTCATATGTATATTTTAAATGTAATGATAAAGTATATGAACATGTTTACTTCTCGGCTTATGGCAATTACGTGGTCGTTGTTTGTGACAACTGCTTCATGAAACGCTAAGTGATTTCTTGATATGTATAGCTTCATTTGTTCCGCTTCTCTGCTGCATACGCTTACTGAATTTTATTTCTTCGGTTGGTACGAAAACGTTCCTGCTGCTAAGAGAAAAACCTATTTAGTACACGATTTTTGATCATTGACATGACCACCCCAGTCAACGTCTACGCAACCTGTAGCTTTAGTGTTTCATTTTGTTTTGGACTCAGGTATCTTAGAACGCATTTCGTTGCTAACACCTTTCCTTATATAGCAAGCTAGCCCTACGAAGGTGGCTTTGTGTAGGCTTATAAACGGAGAGAAAAATGTCTGTGGGAGCGCTCATTGCTAAGTGGATAAGCGATCCTGTGAGATTCGTCGGCTATAAGTTTTAAAACATGATCAGGGAGCTCTTTGCCAACAAATGGTGGCTGGGTTATAAGACGTCATTGGTTAACTCACTATCTTTATTTTTGCCCGTGACATCGATCTCAAAGAAAGAATTATGGTTTGTCATGAGACTCTTTACTTCCCTTGCCGGCTGAGTACTTGTGTTTTCCTGACAAAGAAATAAAAATAAACTAAAAGGAAAAGTCCGGTCGGTTGTCTGCTGTCTGTCTGTCCACGGTGAGTCAGTCGGTCGTCGTCTAGCGTCGGCCCTACATAGCCACCATATGCACGCCCCTTCGTCTCAGCCACAGCGGTGGCAGCTCGCGTTTAGCCACTCATTGGGGACAACAAAATTAAATAGACTAAAAATAACTTACAATACAGGCATCGGCGTCGGTGCAGTGTCGGCCGCGGTAGCTGCTACATCGGCAATCCCTGCTCCTCTTTCTATTAAGCCGTTCCCACTCCAATACAAACTTTAATTTCCCCTGCTGCGTGCGTAGGTGCACGCGGGTAACCGCTGTCTGCAATAATAACCTGGGATCTAATTAATTTCTCTTCCGAACAAATTTCTTAACCCGTGTAGTTTTCTGTTCTTTACTCCAATTGCGTTTACTTTGGCAAGTTGCTGTATTGGTTATTTATTTTTCCTTTCCTTTTTTTTTTTTTTATATATAAAAATGCTTGGCTATTCCTTTTTATTATAAAGCATTGTTCTGCTCAAACGTTTTTTCTTTATTCTTATATCGTTTTACAATCGTAGAATTTCTGTACAAATAATTGAATTAGGTGGCAAAGTCTTTTTCGTGATGGCTAAATGGTAGTAACCAACTCACAATATGTATATAAATATTTTTTTTTATTATTTATTTTTTTTTGTTCCAAAAGCACGCATACAAAAAGAAATTCCTTTTTTCCTCTTTTTTTCTTGTTTTTTTTTTTTATGTTATACAGGGTTGGTGGGTTATATATTCTTTTACACAATTTAGACACCAATATGTTTCTATGAACGTCAATGATACTTAAAAATAATATATTCATACACGAATGCGATGCGCTTTGCTTGGTACATTCAACCGGCACACTCAACTCTTTACCTCGTTTTTCCTTGCACAATTGTTCCTGCTTCTCTTGTTTTTCACTCTATTGATTGACTTTATAGGGATTTCAATAATTTGATGGAGGAAAATAGAAACGGAGTTTCACTACAGGAAACAATTTGTTCGGTCCAATGTTACTCAAAGTTTTTCTTCCCATAAGAAAAAAAATTAATTTTTGTATAAAAATCATATGTGTTCCGAACAAAAATTTTTTTAGAAAGTTACTTTGGAAATATACAACATTTCCGTACTTCGTTTTCGTTTTGTGACTCTCTGTACGGAAGCCCTGATATTTTATAATCGTTTTTTTTTTTTTTTATTTAGCACGTACACTATATACACGACGTTTTAATGTAAGTTAGCTCGTTTAAGCTACTTTTGCATATTCAGTTCTTCACAAACTAAAAGGCTTCGAAATTAAAATGTGTTAAACATTAAAACCGTTTAGCAATCGACATAAGAAATTATTTTGCTTTTGTCGCGTGGCTTGTAGCAACATTTTTATTAATTCGATTATTGATTCTTCTTTTTTTGTTGGTTTTCCATTGGGAGGCCTTTCTTCCGCTTTTTTTTGTTTTAATAATCCGTAAGCTTACTATTGGTAGCGTTAAGTTCAGAAAAAATGGATTTTGGTAAATTTATCGTTTAAATTTTTATTAAATCGTTTAAATTTTATATTCGATATATTTAACTGCTCACAACTTTGCTAATTTTATAAATGTATCGTTTCCGCGCGTTAAGAATTTCTTTTCTTTGGTATTTTTTTTTCAATGGTCATCTTTGGGCTCATATTTAACAAAAGCACAAAACCGCCAGAGCTCAGCCACACAACCAAAGGACAATCGAAAAGCAAGCGCACTCGTTGACGTTTTCCCTTCAACTTCTCGAACTCAACTCCTCTAGAACTAAGCTCAACTTAAAACTATCCCCTCTGACTTAAATTTTAAAACGCAGACAGACTTCTCCTTCTTACTCAATTTCCCTCTTCTTCTTCCTGTTGCTCTCTCTATAACGGCTTGCCGCTACTCTCACAAGAGCAAGCATAGATCCCGCAAAATCATACGATTTTGCCTACGCTTGCAAGAGCAAAAGGAAAAAAAAAGGAGTACCGCAAAATCATACGATTTTGCCTGTACTTGCAAAAGCAAGCAAAGGTACCGCAAAACCATACAATTTTTGCCTGTACTTGTAAGTAAGGAGATCAGAAAAGAACAAAATAAACACATATACCGCAAGATCATGCGATTTATTAGCGGTACCACAAAATCGCATGATTTTGTCTAACGGCATGCCGTTATTCCGCCGCTTGCGGTTGATACAGACCGACAGACACCCTACCCGAGGTTTGTTCGCGGCCGTTACAACTATGGTCAACGTTCTTCATAGATAGATAAAATTCGCAGCTAGCACAAGAAAACGCACACAAATGATGCTTTGCATAAAGCAAAGGCAACCAAGGCCCATCACTTCCCATGGTTGCTAATATCTGTAGATTAGAGTTACAAAGCGTTCATTGTCTCATTTGAATTCGCATACTTAACTTCGAATAAAGCGATACTTGCTCTTGCCAGATGTTCGTTACATCGCTTGATTTAAATTATCCACATTACTTACCAAATTTTCATATTAAAGTTTATTAAATTGTTCTGTCAGAGTTAGCGGGTCCTGTTATTGTTTTCGACGGAATCCTTAGCTGTACAAGATATTCTACCTGAATAGAACGACTCCCCCAGTCAAAAATGTAACGCATCCCTCGTTTTGGAACAAGTGACGTTTCAATCAGTTTTTCTCCTGGCGGTATAAAACCATATTTCACTGTTACCAACCTTTTAGTCATTTTGAATGTTTGCTACTGGGTCTCTTGAAGTAGTTCGCATTCGGGCTGGTATGCTGAGCGGTTGCCAGGTCAAGCAGAAACTTGTGCCCTTTGATCATGGCTATCACGTGTCATGAAATGGTCGCTTTTTTGGAAAGAATTTGGCAAATCATTTGTTTCTACATCTTACGATTAACCAATACAGTTGACGTTGAAAATAAAAGCCATGTTAGTTTCGTTGCGATATTAGACCTTCTTCCTTGGAGCTGTTGAGAAATTGGATTGCACGAATTTCTATCTGACTGCCATATAACTAGATCGCAGCAAATGAATGAAGCGCGGGAGAAGATGAAAATTAAGAGAGCTTGGAAGGGAAGTTTTGATGCATCTACCGTATAGAGCAGATCTTGCTTCATGCAATTCATTTCAGTCTTCTCTCTTCAATATATCCTGAACAGTTTAAATTTGGCTTTCAACGTTTTTCCTTGATTCCTTGATTCCTTGATTGAGGCATTATACAACGCCGGAAATGTTAAAGTTTCCAAAAAATTGCACAAAATCATATATAGTAAGAGTCATTATTTAAAATTTTTGTATTGTAAAAAAAACAGATTAACAAAGTTGCTTATACAAACTTAGCTTTTGTTCCCTTAAAATTGTCTACAAATGCCAGAGATAACTTTTTTTATTTAATTTCAGAAAGAACTCCACGAAACCTGCTATTTCAACGAAACCATCGTGCACGGTTACTTCGTTTTTCGTTCCGTTGTCAATTTGCAGCGCCGCATCGGTTTTACTCCACGAGGTAAAGCTGTTGGGCCGAAGAGGAATGTTAACGATGCTTGTTATATGTTTACCAAGATACCAACTGATCAATTTCTCCATCAGCTTGCTACTTTTTTGCCGCGCAGTTCAATAGCTACAACAACAAAACCACAATCATCTCAACAAGGCACAATGAATAATACTAACATATACGGAGACCTGAACTTGAATATTGAAAGTAGTCACGAAAAAGGAGGAAAACAGTTTGAAAATTTACAACAACAGCACTTAAGCCGTGATAACGACCAACGCTTAAATGGAATACAAAACAAGTATGTTAACGAAAAGGAATTCGATCATCGGGATCATACGCAGGACTATAGTAAGAACTTGGATTTAATTAAAGTTAAAAAGTCATATTCTAAATTACACATGGGCTTGAACAATTTTACGAAAGAACGTAAGCAACGTTTGCATTTCTTAAACTCGCCACGCCAGAAGCAACATCAAGTCAGACATCATCACAACAACCCACATATGCTAGCAAGAAGGAAACACCATGAGCAAAAAGAAAAGCACAAACATTGTCATCTCGTCAACTCTAGTCCGAATGTTTCCACATTATCCATAACAAGTCGAAAAAGAACAGCTGCAGCGTTTTCGTCTACTGCACCAACGCTAATGAAATCAACGTTTAACAAGAAAACATCTAGCTACTCTCAATATTTCCGGATAGCAACAACCGTTGGCGTAAACATCAGCAGCGTGACGTCAATCACAACGCTGAATAGACGAAAAGATCGCCGAAGAAAAGTTCACAAGGTTCGAGCGAATCATACAGAAGGGCCTGTGGCGCTAGATATGCAGAATGAACCTCACCACATGACACCTTCGAAAAGTAAGCCGATTAGTCGTTACGCTGCACCTTTGCCTACAGTAAGCCCGCAGCAATCTTTTAGCAATCTAAAAGAAATTAACCAAAATCCAGAAGTTAAAAAAAAAAGAACCTTTACTGGAGAAACTCAGATGAAATCATATATCACACGTGAAAAGGAATATTCGACCACCGAAAGTGTATCTACCTGGGAGAAATTATCTTCTACCATTTTGACTACCATAACTGAAGAGGTCAAGTTATCCTCTTCAACATCTCCTTATTTCTCCAACCGTTCATCATCTTTCAAGGAGGATTCAGTGCTGGATATTACTAACGCGACAGCATTTAATAAACACGAACCAAATAAAATAGCGGCAACCTCCATGGAACAATATTTTTCGCACAGAACGACTTTTGACCGTGTCATGTTAACTACATCTCGAATTTTGACTGCGCAACAGCTAAATAAGACTGACGGAGAGAAAGGAAAAAATGTCACGCAATCTAATTTTTTAAGTATTCCAAAGGCTATTCTTCCGTCGATTTCATTCACTTCGGGTTTGTGGTCAGTAAACGGTTCCCTGGAAAGCAATGCGTCTAGGTGGCATGAAATGTCAACAAAAATACAAAAAGTGAAAGCTAATGATATGTCAATATCGGTTAAGAACGACATACCAGAAAATGGGGCCAAGTTACAGGAAAATTCCTCTCTCGTATCCATTCCTTTTAAAGATGAACATGATGAAGTAAGATTAAGCCCATGTAACATTCCTAAGTCAGTGCAAGAAGATGAGCACGATCGTATGGTAACTGTACAGTTCCCAAAAATTCAAAATCGCGCTGAAAAACCCGAAAATGATGTTGAAAAAAAAAAAAAAAAAATATCACTTACAATTTTATCAACAACGCCAAGAGCAGTAGTCACGACGACAAAGCTGAAACCGGCACTCATATCAGCTACGCTCACATTGTTATCTCCTGAAAACTCATCAGTAACAAGTATCGATAAGAATGACAGCGCAAATAAAACAAATAATTCATCAATAAATAATAGTACTAATGATAATCGGTTGCCATTATTCTCATTAATGCCTACAGCAATGACTACTCCTCGTATGTCCCTAAGAAGTTTAATTATAAATAAAGCCTCAAAAAATTTTAGCCAGAAAGTAATAGCTACGCCGTTTCATCAACTAACATATGTTCGCAACCAGGCGGGAGAAATTGATATAGATAATATCGATAACATTAACATATATCCTCATCTTCTCGACGATAATGGTGGAAGCAAAGTTGCCATTCTTAAGCAAGATATCGGTAATGATGGTCAACGGACCCTGATCACGGCCTATTTACCTACTTTGGCAACAGCTACGTTGCCCGAGTCGATACGAATAGCCAAAATTAAAATAAATCGTGAACGCAAGCGTAGAATGCATTTACATAGTATCGACGTATACACCTAGCTGTGTTGTGCGTAGTTTATACATTTCTAACTTTGAAGTCAGAAGACAGCAAACATGATTAGAAGAAAGAAAGCGCTAACATGCATGTAAGTACCAAAGTTTTTGTGACAAGTGGTCAATCGATATTTTAACTTTACTTTGTGTTTATATATCAATTATGAATTTTTTTGGTAATATGCGATTTCAATTATATATTTGAATATGAAACTTTTATTTTTATGTAATTTTTTTCTATTAACTTAAATTTTAAATAACTATAAAACACCATTCAAATATTTTTGATTAAAAATACCAAGATTTGAAAGATTATTAGTATCCGTAGTAGTACTCTCTTTCCGGAGTGCAATGTTAAGAGCCTATCTATAACGTTTTGTACCATTTATTAGCTTAGGATAGAATAGCGTTTTATGTTATGGCTTCTTTAAGCCTGTCTATTGGAAACGGTTTGCTGTGTCGTTTAGTATGATTTTGAAATATTTTTTGGCTGCACTTCTAAAATCTCATAAACTAAAGAGTCTGTACATTTTTGAAATGTTCCTTAATGATACCTAAAAAATCATGCCAATTGGATGTAGACTTTTGTACAGAAATGAAATGAATGAAATCTCTCCACGATGCTATTTGATCGCCAATGGTAAAGTGTCGTTGTAATTTTGTGACTTTAGAAAAATTTTGCAGCTTCATCAAATAGTTTTGATGTGAATTGCCTATCCAGATCGGAAATAATGATTAAAGGAACACCAAAGTGTGTGATGAAATAGGTCAAACATTGGTTGGGTTTAGTGTACACATTCATGTCACTAATACGATGCAGACCAGCGTCTGAAACGGTCTATGATCATCATAGAGCAATTGGGGTCGTTACTTGGAGGAAGGGGACCGACGATGTCCATATGTATGTGGACATTTTTTTTTTTTGGAATACCGAACTTAAAGACTGCGACCTTTCTATTTATGTACCTTTGCTTTGGAAATGTTGTTGTCCAAATATTGAGTCCTTTGTTCATGTTTGTGCAAAACTACCGTACGTTAATAAGTCAACGTGTAGCTTTAGTACCATATTAAATTGTGTGATTCATGGAAAATAGTGCGACCATAAATTTGAAGGGACATGTGGGCGTGGGTTACGGCCTGTCATTTGGCCCCAAATTTGGAAGGTAAAATCGTTGAGTAATACCGTAAATTATATTTGCTTTAGCCAAATTTAATATATCTGGTTTTTATCCGTAGCTAAATCGTCTAAATTTGAATCTTTCTGACGTTCATTATAGATGTTTCTCAAATTTATAACTGACAATATGACCGAAGTGACTTCGAATGTTCTTGAAGGTGTTTCCGCCATCATATTTGTCTTTCGAACGACATATTTGAATCGAAATATAAATTCTAATTCTCTACTACGTCGGGGCATCTCTCTGTTTTAGAGATAAGATCTGTGTTCAACGGTTTATGGTCTGTGAAAACTGTCAATTCTTCAGCAGAATTTCGTAGAAAAAAGGGCATACGAACAAACTTAAAGATTCTAAAAGGTGTGCTGGTCGCGGTATTTTGTAGCCGCAACGATTTGGTTTCAGCAAACCTAATTTTGAAAATATCTATTTATCACGAACGTGAATGTTTAAATCGTATATGTACTACAGACCATAGCCATCTGCCAGAGTGACAACTTTAAAACATCTAAATTCGAGAGTGCCAATCATTAGAGCCTTTTTAAGGAACGAAGTGAACAAAGGCAAAAGCGGACAATGAATCATCTTGTAGTAGAGCGAAAAATAAGTGTTCGTATTCTCTTTTTCATTTGCTATTCCTGTCGAAGCAAATGGACTTTCAGCACAGATGAACCATGCCTCTGGACAACTCGGCCAAGAAGATGGTAGTGTCACAGAAGTAGCCAAAACCTCTGAATTAATAATTAAATTGTTCCGAGTTTGAGCATAGTTATCTGCGTGGGTATCATCAAAAATAAAAGCTATTAAATCTGTAGTTTGTCGTGACTATTTGAGTGAAGATTGTGATGGAGTACTGAATATGTTGGGAGAAGTTACAATAAAATAAAATGGGAATATATAAATATACATGTATGTAAAATTAATAGCAAATAATAAACTAATAAGAAAACATTAATTGGTAGAACCAATAAATAAAGAAACATTAGTTGATAAAAATTAATCTATAAGAACACAGTAATTGAAGACTTAAGTTGTTTTCGGATCCATAAACAAATTTTTCTTACGTTTTCGTTTGCTTTGGCACTTTTATTTTCCAACTCCGTTGAAAGTGAAGGCGTTTAGCATAAACTTGTATATGAATCAATTGATTTCATCGCTTTTGCCTACTGTTGCAGTTCCAACTGCTACTTCTGCTGCAGCTGTTACTGCTGGTCAGAAAAACTCGCAATCAAAGAATCACATCTCATTCTCTCGAAGTCAGAGACCTTGTAGCTGGATCTTAAATTGCATTAATGACATTAATGAGAAACACAACGGAATTTTTATACATTAAGCTGTTCTACATGTAAAGAACCCCATCGAATTAATATAATACCTCATCCAAATATTGCAGGAAAAGAGGTAACCGAAAGACCATTTCGGAAAGTATGCATTTCTTTCTCGGGAACTACCCTGCATCAAGAAATGAAATGTCATACATATTTATTGTTGATCATTTCAGTTAATTTACGTCTCGGAACCCATGTAATGCTTCATGTATTAATATAATTCGATTCTTAGATGAAGAAATTTTTAATAATAGCTAGACAGTTAGAAAATTTGTAGGCAAGCTATCCAATCAAACAAATGAAAACAGCTTTATACGTATCACAAACAGTCAACCAAACCTTGGTAAATCTTGTGCACATTTAGAAAATGATCACGGCCCTCGGGACTTGTATTAAGGGGAAATAGAAAAATCAATCCGAAGTTTTGTGCATTCCGCTTGTGGGATTTTGAATACAATACTGGAAAACGTTGTAATTGAAACGAGTGAGTTTATTTTTTTTTTTTTTTTGTAATTGTTATTCTTGTAGTTATAAGAATTATATATAAGCCGCAACTGAAAATAAAGTTTCAGGCATTAATTCAACTATTGTGTATACTTCAACAGTGCATTATTTCTTTTAAATTTTTTTTTTATCCAACGAAATACTCAGTATTAAAGGACGTCCTCCTTGAGCAAAAAAGGTTCTTGCATTTTTTTAGATTTGGTTTCATAAAATTTAGCTGGCATCATGCAAGCAAATTATTTATGTCATTTTGAAGTTGAAACGATTGCAAATCCAAGGAGAAAGAAGAAAAGAGTTTAACATCGCCAGCGTACATTAAAATATGGCTGGACTTAATTACCGAGGGAAGATAATTAATGTGTAGACTGATTAAACGGAGTGAATCCTACATGATCTGTCAAGCAGATAAGAGGTTATCCATTTTACAAAGTAAAAAGGGAAGCCAGAGGACTGGGGTTTGAAGATCAGTAAGTTATGGTTAACTAAGCACAACGCTTTGCTAACATCAGCATATATGACATCCCTGCAAGAGTCACTACGAAAGGCCTTAAAAACATGACATGTAAAGAGCTCCGCAATACTTGATCTTCCTTTCAGAAAAATATGCTGGGTTAAAGAAACACAAAATGTGAAAGCATGAGCTAAAGGCTGAGTAACAATTCGCTTAAACAATTTAGGTAAGGCACTCAACGTGCCAATGTCTCAATATTTCGCAACGTGATGTCTATTTCCACGTTTGTGAGCACCTGATTTCAAAAACTGATTAAACGTCTTTGAAATAACACCTTATAGCTCATTAGCTTATATTATATAATAGAATACCATCAGTCCCAGGGGCGCAACTATATCTTAGAGACGTCAAACCATGCAAAACGTCGTTTTCTGAAAGAATCAATCGAAATGGACTTAGTTATCATTCACGGATACTTAACAATTAAATCGGAATCACCAGTTGAAAAATTTCGTCGAAGGTATTCAGCAAAGATATTTAAGGTTTCAGTATCATCAAAGCCAAAGAAACACTTGAGCTAAGTTGACGTACTTAAAAAAATATTTAGGATAAATACGTTTTTTTTCCTATTTTTGTAATATTTACTACTCTTGTGAAATCCTGGCAAACACTTGCTTCAAAGATGTGATTGCTTCATCGGAAAGGATGCAGAAATAGCTAGGTTTACTACATTATAGAATGATGATAGTGTGGTTTCAATATATTTAGTAAAATTATAAAACATAATGTGTGAAAGGTGAGATTTAAGCACCAAGACATTGATTTTACTAAAATCGTAATGTATAGTTGAGCAAGTTGGGTTTGCCACATTAGAATGGTTCGATGGACCACAGTGTTTTTAATGAAAGAAAATGCAAACTGGCGGATGCTGCGTAGTATTGAAGTAAAATACGATCAAATAATTCATTGAAAAACACAATAGCTCTATCAGATGTTAAGGTGGGGACCATAAAGCCAGAATTATAACGATAACACCGAATTGAGGCCCAATAACGCTATGACAATATCAGTTGATTTAGACATTTCGGCTACGTCACAAATGAGGGCAGCGCGTTTCTTATAAATGGAGAGGTCCACATTTGGGGAAGTATAGGCGCAAGTTACATATAGCTGTTAACTGGCAATTTTCGCCCGAATCATAATGGATTTAAGGTCCATTAAAGCAACATTGCTTAATACGCGCGATTTACCTATGTCGTACTTGAACTAAATTTTAACTTGAAAAAGGTATTATGAGTCGTAAATTAATTGTATTATCGGTTGCCAAGCTTATGCATGTTTGCGATGGCTTAGGGATTCACTTGTAATTTGGTCCTGTACCGGTTTTTGGTGTGGCTCTATGCTAGTTGTGTACATGTTTTTTTATATTTTTCTTTTTTTTTTTTTCTTCTTATTTGGTTTATTGTACTTATACTAAGTTTTATTATTAATTAATTTAAGATTTGCTTTAAGAGTCAATTGAACTCGACTGCCATTTTGTTTTAGTTGAGTTTCTAGTATAAGTGGAATAAATAAATAAATAAATAAATAAATTCAACGTCTGGAGGCTTGGGAAATTCAAATGAATAGGACGT